CCCCCCCCCCCCCCCAACCACCCTCTCAATAAAATAATATTTGAGCTCTCTCATATCGCTCACAAAAAAACACTGACTGCTTATCTTTAGAGGCGTAATGGACAGACAGGTAGACCAAGACACTTACATACGGTAATAATATTAATTTAATACAAGATCAGATGAATGTAATTAGATCAAAATGTTGATCCATATTATGCTGAAAATGAATGCCGCTGTGTACTATATAACTTCTAATTTATTTGGATTTTAACCAAAAAAATAAAAAAATTTGTTTGCAAACTAGAACAACTTGAACGAAAGGAATTTGTATAAAGCATTTGTGAAGCTTAAGAAATAAACCCACAGAAAAATATCACTTCTTTTATGAGAACATTGACACATCATTGACATTATGCGTGATTATTTTGATTTTTCTAACAGCCGGGGAAGCACTCTGGTAAATCATGAGAGAATATTTTTTTTATCTTTTACTCCATACTTGGTCGTGTGTCGATTTTATTTCACCTGGATGGTAAAACGAGGTTGGCGAGTCCTTTGTTTCCACGTATTCAGGACGTAGCGAATTAACCCGTGCTGTAAGAGCTTACGGGGGGACTGGGGTCTTCCTTTCTTGACTTCTCACGTGAAGCTTGCCCGCGCGTTCTCCCTCCGGCAAAGGGTTACACACCTTGGCTTTCCCCATCAAAGAGAAGTGGGTTGAGTTAGGCCAACGTGAAGCAGCTATTCGACCACCTGACCCCGGCCGATTGAACAGACGTAGCCACGGGGCCCCGATAATGGCCATACATTGTGGCGTTGGCCGCCAGAAAGCCAGTCGTCCGTAACAGCACACTGCGCCGTCAAGCTACACACCCTGCAGGGCCTTAGCCATAGCGGTCTCATGTGCGCTCGCGGCAATGCTATTAACCCTGAATTTAGGCGCCCAATCCCCTCCCCCCCCCCACCCAAAGTATTTATTAATACACATATAACCTATTTCACAATTACAAAAACTGAAGATTTTGGCGCGATTTTGTTCAGCTCATGAAGATCATCGACTTCGCAACATCGTGTCCCGCGGTTAGGCAAACGTTATTTAAGTTTCACAGAACCAGACCATTCATTCGGGCATGTTCATTTTTCTAGCAATAGTTTCTATATCTGTATTGTAACTGTTCCGACTCATGCTCACCCCCACCCACCCCCCCCCCAACCTCTAACTGATCAAGAAGCCTCTGTGCTGCAGGGTGCCAGACAGGGGTCGATAGTACTTGGGTTGGCCAGGTCAATCATTTTCACAAAGCTGTTCTTAAATGAATAATTTTATGTAACTAATTTTTTAATGTCGTGTTTCTTTTCTTTTTTTTTTTTCTTTTTGCTAATATTTATGTGAAGCGCGATGAGCCTGGCCCTAGGCTGGGGTACCACGCTACGTAAGACCACTTTAAGATTAATTATATATATATAGATATAAATATCATCTTTTCCACTTTTCCAGCTAGTTATTATCTCCTAGATCAAGCCTGCACAAAATGCGGGCCGCATGTGACCCGCCAGCACCCACTTTGCTGTCCGGGAAGTAACAAAATATTCTTTATTCTTATTATTTCTTAATAGCTTCCCCCCACCCCCTGTTCTTTTTTCTTTTGGCCCGCATCAGTTTTTCCATTAAGTATTACGGCCCGCCTTACATTTTGACTTGTGCAGTCCTAGATGTATAATTGGCTTGTGTAGTTTATAGTTGAAAGGGATGAAAGACTTTGAATGGGTTTGCTCGTTTGTAGTTTTTACAGTGTTGCGTTTTGTGATTTAATGTGGTAAAATATAGATTGTTTCATTTGTTTTTTAATATGGTTGACTTTGTACTACGCTTCGAGCTTTTGGGGAGGAAGCCTGATTTTTTAAAAATAAACTTTATTATTATTATTATCCTCTATATATTGAGCGTAACAATGATATATTAAAATTTGACATAATAATCCCTAATAATTTTTGTTGGAATTTTTTTTTTTTTTTAAATTGTAATTTATAGGCTAAGTTGTGGTCTACATGGGATCTCCGTTTTTAGCTTTCCCGGATCTATGACAAGACACATGTCGCGTAGACCGCTTGTCACAGACCTGCTAAAATCGCAGTTATTACGATTTAACTTTTATACACAGAAGAGACACGATTATTTAAAACAATAGATACTCAGTCCTGTCTACATGGGACACTGCCACGAGACACAGAAGAGACATGATGATTTAAAAAAATAGATACTCAGTCCTGTCTACATGAGACACTGCCACGAGACACAGAAGAGACATGAAGATTTAAAACAATAGACACTCAGTCCTGTCTACATGAGACACTGCCACGAGACACAGAAGAGACATGATGGTTTAACACAATAGACACTCAGTCCTGTCTACATGAGACACTGCCATGAGACACAGAAGGGGTTAACGATTTACCGATTGAAACATCTTCACCAAATTAAAAAGCAATATTTCCCAGAATTCATCTAGCTTTAGATTCGGTACTGGAAAATTTCTCATATTGCCCCTGTTCAGTTTCTAATTTTAGATTTGAGTGGAGTCACGCGTCCCACGAAGTCATCCGACTAAAAACAAGTCAAGCAGACTACAGTGATTCATGACTATGTGACCCCCCCCCCCCCCCCCCCCCCCCCCCCCCCCCCCCTTTACGGAAATCCTACTAAATCCTACTGATACTTTACTGGCGGAAATCAGGACTGAACTCGGCACGCGCTTATTAAGTAGGCCTACCACTTATTTTTAAGGAACACGGGGAAGCAGTGGCGTAGCCAGGCTTGGTGTAACCCGGTGCGGTAAACTCATGGTGTCACCCCTTTTTTCCCCTCGGATTCCGCGATGGTATATAACTGTGTCAAGAACAAAATAGATTGATGGCCATGATTTCAATGTATTCAAGAACTGTAGCAACGATAGTTATGCGTTTTTTTTTATTTTTTTTTTTTTTTTTTTTTTTTTTTTTTTTTTTTTTTTGGACATTTAATTTCCTGCATTTAAAATGTTTCTTTCTGCAAAACCGGTCAAACTTTTTAGCTTCGTTTGTCTGCTTTGATCATTTTTCATTTGGTAGCGTAGATTTTCTGTTGCTCAAGTCATCCGAAAGAGATAACAGGTAACTCTTTTTCGATGCCGGTACAGAGTTAAAGTTCGCCGTGCTTTTACCAAAAAAATAATAATGTAATCACAACTTTAAGTTCTAGACATTTCTCTATCTACCTACACACTTTACACAGATGGAATTATCCTGTGTCAGAGAATTATCAAAGATAGAATTATCACAGATAGAATTATAAAAGGAAGAACTATCACAGGTAGAATCATCACATATATAATTATCACATTTCTAATGATCACAGGTAGAATTATTACAGATTATCGCAGATAGAATGATCACAGATAGAATTATCGCACATAGAAATATCACAGATAGATTTATCAAAGATACCGCCCAAAATGCTTCACATTGCTTGCTGGAAAATTTTAATAGAGCCTGCCCTTTTGTGAAATTCTGGTGTGACTACAGTAGCGAAGAATTAATGTGTACCATCGTAGACAGGGTATGTGGAAAAAGACGGGGGGGGGGGCGGGTGCGCGGGTACGCACTGATTTGCCTTTTATGTAGAAGGGGCATTTTCGGTCAATTTTTGTTTCCTTTTTGGTGGAAAGGGGCGGCAAAAAACTTCGCACGCCCCCGTTAGACGTAGACAGGGTATGTGGAAAAAGACGGGGGGGGGGGCGGGTGCGCGGGTACGCACTGATTTGCCTTTTATGTAGAAGCGTCATTTTCGGTCAATTTTTGTTTCCTTTTTGGTGGAAAGGGGCGGCAAAAAACTTCGCACGCCCCAGTTAGCGCCTACCCTTTCTACGCCCCTGATTTGTATTTGATATATTTTGGACATTTTAAGTCAGGACTGCCCGTCAAGTAACGAACTATTCTTTTTAATTAATATTTTCTTATTACGCCCCCCCCCCTCCTTTCCTTTCCGGCCCTACCTTTTTTCGGCCCACAGAAGCTTTTCAAAAAGTATTACGGCCCGCCTTACATTTTGAGCTGTGCAGGCCTGTTTTAAGTGAGGTGATGTGCCAATAGTTTATTCTTTTGGTATCTTATTGTATGGAAAAACCATGAGACTTTTTCATGTTTGAAAAAAAAATTGTTTTCCGAAAAAGTGTGTGCCCCCCCATGTGTTCTATCTCCATATTTTAGATAAATAATAGCTAATGACATGATAAGTACAAACTCAGTTTTACAATTAATGGGACATTTATTTCATATTAAAATACGAAAACTCCACAAATCATTTTCAACAACTTACAATAATTTATTTCAATTTAAAAAAAAAACAAAAAAACAACAACAAATATATTCACAATTTATAACAGCATTATAAACAATGCATCGTTTTTTTCAAAAGGAACATTAAAAATAGAACATTTTTTAAAAAAATGAACATTTAAAAGAAACACTAAAAAGGACCTTAAAAGTAGTCATAACGCAGGAATCGAGAACCTATCTTGGCGTGCAACATGGAGCATGTTCCGGTAAATAATAAGAATTAAGTAACAAAAGGAAACAATGAGATTCTAATGCTCAGTCCATGGCTAAAGGGTAAAAAAAACAAAAAACCATTTCTTTCAGCTCAACGGAGCTACTTTAACATTGATCGACCAGACTACATACATAATAGTTGTTTTTTTTTCAGTATATCTTTAAAACTTTTATAGCATATATTCAAAAGAACACAAAATCCCCACTGAGATCCATAGCGCCTTTTCTCTTTTTAAAATGATTTTTATTGTGACATTTGTTTTGTTATTTTGTTTTTGTTTAATCCGTATTTTTTTTTTTCCTTTAGAAACACTCTCAGCTTAGTCATTAATATGTGAACAATTTATGTGTGCTTTTTGTTTTGTTTTGTTTTGTTTTGTTATGTGTACTTTGAAATTCGAATAGCCGTGTCAGCATCTGTGATCTTCATATGTGACATTGGCCTGCATCTTCACATTAATTTGCTTTTCCCAGTTTTGCCTGCAATGATAATGATAAACCCCGCAGAAATGATCTTTCTATATTTACACTAGATGGTTTGCACATTTATATTATCTAAAAGTAGTTGAATGGCTAGCTGATGCTTAAAACGTAGCCTGCGCGTTATATTTCCTGAGAGACATGATCACCTTTAAATGTATACGTTGTTTCTGAACACACTTGACCTATCCTCGTGCAATTAGAAACATCATTATTGACTAACAAACAAGAACATTTTTTAAATCAAATAAACACAATTAATAAAGAATCAAAACTGAAGTTTTTTTGTTTGTTTTTTTGTTTAAAAGTAACTAAAGTAGAGCTCTGATTGTCCGCACTAATGCAGACCGGCCAAGGATCGGGTAACCGAACTCTCCAATGGAAAGTTAACGCAGAAGAATAAATTTCGAGTTATATTTATTGTGTTTGCAGGCGTGTATTCTGTTAAAGTTAAAAATGCTAATTAAAAATGTTGCGGATCAAACTAGCACCGTCTGGTCACTTCATGTGGGGCATGAGCTGAGATGTTTACAGTGATAGTGCGACAATGCAAAAATGGCATTCTCATTGCGTTAGATAATTTTTTTACAAAAATACAGTGGCAGGCTGTATATACAGCATTTTTGTCTTTTCAACGTACTATTGTATTAAAATTTACAGAAGCTTCAATCGGTGGGTGTAAGGCTTTGTTACAGGGGACGCTGGGGTGAGAGCGGGGTGTATAGCACTAAATGAAACATTTCAAATTTGACAGATTTCGCAATTGTTGGGTCCATAACAGAACTAAGTAAAATACAATAGCGTACCACCACAGCAGGTTGTCACCAGAGTATGGTGCCACCAGAGTAGGGCGCGGCCCGAGTAGGGTGCCAGGAGAGTAAGTGCTCAGTTGAGTAGGGTGTCAATACAGTTAGAGTGCTACCAGAGCAGGAGGACTCCGAGAATGTCCATTTGGAATTCTGGAAGTGGAGTTGGGAGGACAACCCCACAAGTTCACTGCACTGGATGAGACCAACCCCGTAGTGACGCCACTGCTTGTTCCTACAACAGTTAAAGGCGATGTTATAGGAAAAGCCAATGTCATTGATTAGACTTAAGTACCAACAGAGTCATTCTCTATACACTTACTCAAGTTTAACTTAGGAACGTATCTACGGTGGCCAGTATACGCTTATTACACAGATCACACACAGATGTTGTCCCGGCACAGTCCCTGCACGTGGTGAAATGACCACAGGGCAGGAACGTCACGCCACGGGGGTTCACACAACAATGCATGCAGATTTTTAACTTCTCCAGCATGTAATGCTCATTTGTAATGGCGACCAGACATTCGTTTCTGAGCCACTCTTTTCGCATGTTCCGACTTTCAGTGTCATTACCAGGCAGAGACGAAAATGCGGTCTGCTTTGTCATCTGAGTCGTGCCGACATTTGCTTGTCGTGAATCCGTACCCAATCGTTTCGTCTGCGACGGTGTATCAATTTCATCACCGCCACCGCCACTGATGTGACTGTTTTCCAAACCTCCGACCCGCTGGCGACTTCTTTCCTCGGGCCGGCCACCGTGATTGCTGCTGCTGGAGGGCCCTCTGTGACTGCTTCCGCCCGAATCCCGCAGAGCGAAACGTAGCCGATCGGGAATGTCCATCTCCTTCAGTAGGTTCATCAAGTTTGGGGTTAACCGTTTCTCCAACTCTTCGCACGCGTCAAGTAAGGATTCCGTTGTCACCGTCATCGCATTCGCTATCATCTCCACCACGCAGTGGATGACAAGCACCAACGGGAAAGTGCTTCCTTCGTTGACTGACCTGATAGCAAGTGAGTGGTCGTGGCACAGTCGGTCGTCCCGCATTTCATCTCTTTGAAGTATGGCACCAAACAGTTCTGAAGGATCGCACGCTTGCTGCGAGCTCGGGCTTTCAAACGACAAGGAACCATTGGGCGATTGTCGATTTGCAAGATGATGATGAGGGTGGTGTGCGTTGTTGGTCAACGAAGACTTGGATTTTGTGGTCAAAGATTCCCGATGGAGTGGGGAATTATAGTGTTGATTGACGACGCTCCGACACGACATCTTGTTGTTAGAGCTGTATAAGGAGATAAAGTTGATTGTCAAGTTTAATAAACGCGGTTCTTTTCATAATGCAATAGTGCGTTTAATGAATAGTTAGGATCAATCCATTAGCTATACATATATTAAATATATTCAAAAATATTTTCTGTAGTTCATAATGCCGTTCCGAAAATTTTATGTGCTTCAGTCACTTCACAAAGCGCTCAACGGGTTATGATAAATCCACTTTGCTTTATTTGTATTGTATTTATTCATTTAAAAAACCATTGAGAAAACATTGAGCTATAGTTCAAAATTGTGCAATATTATTTTCTATTGAATATCGGAAATCTATTGATAGAGCACTCGGGCATTCAGTTTGGAAAATGCCATTAAATGGCGGAAAGATATTAAATAAAACATCCGGGTATGCCGTATGGCCAATCCCTCAACAGATGTCCGGTACTTCTAAGTTAATGTTATTCAGTGCAGTGGGCCTTAACCTAGACTAAAACCTGTAACAACTTTATCTTTCGAAAGATTTTGTACAAACAATTTGCTAACACTGCTATTTATATATATATATGCTGAAATACATTGTTATCAGCCATGTTTTACGAAAACCTGTCCAAAAATAGTAACATTACGCAATGTAATTTTGACGTTTTCCGGTCGCATAAATGATAACAACTGTTATAATAAACACATGGAGCGAGTCTCGTGTTTTCCTTCACTTGCCGGCTCTTTGTTCGCCCTTTTCCTTATTCCAAAAGAATTACCGCGTACTACCTTTAAAAAAAATAAATAATAAATTGCCTTCTTTGTCATTCAAGAAACACGCAGATTTCACTTTCGTTTTGTAGCTTTCTTTCGGATACAGAAAAAGATAACTTAATTGCAATTGTTTAATTGCTTCATTATATTTGCAATGGTGATATTAAATTCGGTGCTAGAGGTTTTTGGCATTCGCTGTTTTGTTTCGACTACGTTTAGGTTTTCACCAGCCCTGTGTTTCATATTTCCCAAATCTACATACAGCCTCCACACACCCCACAACCTTTCAAATAAATAAATAAATTAAATTAAATTAAAACATTAGGTTTAACACAGGACTGATGATAAAATATTCATGGTGCGTCCTTTGGGCAAAATTTAACGAGTAAAATAATAATAATAATAATAATTTTAAAAAATGATTATAAGAAGAATATTAAACTAATGATACCAACGTATGTATCCTTCATGAGGTATTCAAAAGTAAAGTGTATAAAACAGTCATTCACGAAAGTAATATTAATTTCATTACTAATGTGTATATAAAACATATATATAATTATAAATTTACCAAAATGATGGGACTTGTATAAGAGGATCGCTTTTTTTTTTCTTCTTCAAATTGCACTTTATTTCATTAATATCTTCAACAGAGCAATTAATTCGTTTAGTTTAGGCTTAGACCTTAATGTTCATGTCATTTAAATAATTTTGACACTTTTTATCTTTTCAATAAGTTGGCCGTTAAGACGAACCACCAATAGATGAAATAAAAAATTGCCTAATTATTTCACAGAAAATTAAAGAAGCTATCAGTGAAACTAAAATTAAATTTATGAATGGCCGTCAAGATTTCGCACACCTGTATGTAAAGTAAGTGATATGTAAAATGGCACGTAAATTATTACAAATGGTGAACTTAAAAAAAATAATAAAATATTAGCACAGTCTTAATTAAACAAAATTTACCTGTTTGAATTGTTAATTTTTTTTTTAACGTCACAATTTGCAACCAAGATTTGTTAAACAGTGAGTCCAATCCTACGTAATATTAGCTTAAATATAATTTTTACCATGTGATATTTTGAAGGAAGTTATATTATTATTAGGATTTTCCCGAAATAAAATAAAATTCCCGTTGTTGCCGTAGCCGTAAAGTCAGACTATATTTATATAAATAGTCATGTTAAAAATAGATTAACAAGAAAAGAACAGGGGGGGGGGGGAGAGAAACCAACAAAAACATAGGTGGGCATTTATAAATCTAACATCATTGTTATTTCTGCACGAGTTTGATTGCACAAATCACAAATGATATTATTAATTAAAGGTATGCCAGTAGGACAAAGGTCAAACGCAAACAAGTATGTAGGAGGACATGTTTCATTACACTCGAGTTGTTCGATGTGGATACTGACTCAAATAGTATTGCATCCGAGTTATTTATAACTCAAAAGTACCGCTAACATGAAATGGATTTCCATGGAATTGAAACGAAATCAAGTCAGTTTCTTAAAACTCTATCAAAGAGCTACATTGGTACATTTCAATTTTTTAAAAAAATTATTTAAAAAAACCAAAAAAAAAAGGGAAGCGTTATTCACACAGCTCTGTGAATAACGTTTAGCGTTATCGGCAGAACGAAATCTGTGAATAACGGCGAGCGTTATCCACACAGCTCTGTGAATAATGTTTAGCGTTATCGGCAGACCGAAATCTG